ATTCAGTATTTTGTTTTCCTCCCGTCAAGTTGTCTTATTTTTTCGATGACTACCTCTCCATCAGTGAGGTTCTGGTGAAGCTCTCTGCAGCTGTCTCATTCCTTTCCAATGATAGTAACAGGAAATAACTCTTTAGCATTGATACCTCAGCAGCAATTTAGGGTAGAGATTCCTGCCCCTGTTTTGTCACAGATTAGGAAGTTGACAACTAGGCTTAACCTTGACTATATTTAGAGGTCTTTTTGGCTCTTTTCCCCTTAACAAGGATTTCTTATGGTGGTTTCAATTTCATTTGCATAAAAGTATTAAGAGGGAACAAAAAACGATAAAGCTGAGAATCGTGAGAGAGCTTATCTGTCTGTTGGTAAGACTCAAATGAGAGTTTAAAAAAAAAAAAAATCTGTACGCCTGAGTACCATCCTGGATGAATCTAGAAGGTATGGGGTAGAGCCTAACAGTGAGGGTTCCAGTGTACCCATTGGGTTTCCATTACAGGGAAGGGAGAGGAGAGGATTGATAGAGTGTTGCAAAAGTGTAGATTATTCTTCATTGAGATAAAGGATTTGGTTTCCCTGCCATGAGTATTAAAAAATTCTAAGTTTTCCCAACCTCGCATCTCTGACCAAATTTCACATAAACCATTGGAAGGATGCTGGGCATAGTGACTCACGCTTGTAATCCCAGCACTGGGAGGCTAAGGCGGGTGGATCGCTTGAGGTCAGGAGTTTGAGACCAGCCTGGCCGACATGGTGAAACCCCATCTCTACCAAAAAGATAAAAATAAGCTGGGCGTGGTAGCAGGTGCCTGTAATCCCAGGTACTCGGGAGGCTGAGGCAGGAGAATCACTTAAACCTGGAGAGTGGAGGTTGCAGTGAGCTGAGATCACACCACTGCACTCCAGCCTGGGTGACAGAGTGAGACCCTGTTTCAAAAAATTTTAAAAAATAAAAATTGGAAGGAGAGCTTAAAAAAGATAAGATTTTAAGAGTTCCAAGTTATTTTAGTGTAATTGTCACTTGAAAAAGGCAAATGAGTTTATCATTCTTCTTAAAGAGCATCTCTTTTAACTGTTTGACAAAACCATAACTTTGTCATTTTACAAGCAAGAACCTCTTAAGAAGTCCTCAGAACTAGAAGCAGTGTGAACTCTCAGCCTTGGTCCTGGTGGGTTTGCTGACCATGACTGGGCAAGCCATTCTTTTTGCTGCCATCTTCCTCTTCATAAAATGTGGAACATAGGCACTCGCTTTGAGATTTTTAGATAGAAGAAGACATTCTGCACCTGCCCCCTTTTTTAAATCTTTGAGAAAAGATGAGTAATTTTCCCCGCTACTCTGCCTTCCTGTTCAGTAACTCTTACTTTTGCCTGAAGTAATAGCATCTTCTACTTCTCCATCTAGAGATTTTTGTGTGTGTGCCATCAAGGTTAGCAAACCTTATACTTCGCCTAACACTTAAAAAATGCACTCATTATCTTAAACCTAATAAATTCCAGAGTTTATTTTGGTTCTCTTCTGTTGCCCTTCCTCAAAAATGAGTTCAAGATGACAGTATTTTTCTTTACATGCTTGGTTGTGAGTTTTAAAGTTTTATTTAAATATATGTTGAAGCTCCAGTTTAAAGAAAGCATTGCAGAGGCCCACGGTCTCCTGGGTCCCGGCCGGTGGAGGCGCACCTGTCCATATTCCACATTCGCTGACGGTGCTCCCTGCACTCCACTCAAGGTGAGAGTGCAGATAGTCTTCAAGGGGAATCAGCTTCAGGATGGAAGGACCCAGGAGAGGCCCCGAGGGGGGATTCTGTAAATACAGACTACTGCGAGTGTGCAGAGCTCTGTGCCATGGTACTTCCTTGGGACTCTGACTTGGCTGACAACTTGTGCTGTCAGAGGATTTGTTAGAACTCTGCCCTTTTGTCTGAAGCTCAAGGCCAAGGAGACTTAGCATAGAGCTGACCCCTGCACCAGGCTGGGAGGCTCCAGCCCTTGTAGATGCCACTTACTATAAGTGGCCAGAATACCAGAGATGTGGGTTCCATGGTCAGCTGCACACTAAGTGTTTACCTTTACATTTGGATCACCTTGTAGTCTTTAATTATTGGTCCCTGAGGCCAAGTCCACAGCTTGCCTTCTAGTCACTTGCCTGCCCATCAGTGGTGGTGGATGTGTTAGCTGGTAGATTTGGAATCAGTCACCACTCTTTCTGTACTGTCTTGGTTAGGTCTGTATAAGTAGAGGCAGCTTAGCCCTGAGACCCAGAGAGCTGCTATCCTTTTTCTCCTTGCGGGAGGAAATAAAACTGGGGAACACAATGTCCTTCCATAGCATAGGAAGAAGCAAATAAAAGTCTCCTTTCCACCAGTGTTGACTTGTGTGTGTTGCATGAAACATCTTCCTGTGGGAGTGGTACTGGGTCTCCATTTTCAGCTAGAGTAACCTTTGAAGTGTTTGAGCTAGGTCTCTATAAAAGAATGGATGGGACAGGCTGCCATGAGAGTCATTCTTTCATGACCTTTTCAGTGTCAAAACTGGGGCAGTGTTACTTTAATACTCAACCATTTGCACCATCATCTGTCAGGAGGTACTGTCTATAGCAAAAGGAGAACATGTCCTGTGGGTCCCTAGTTCGGCCTTTGGAAGACATGGCTAATGGCTCAGGGATTCTTACTGCCTCTGCATGGAAAGGCTAGACAACTCCTGTATTTATTATTATTAAGACAGGGTCTTGCCCTGTTGCCCAGGCTGAGTTGCAGTGTTGTGATTACAGCTCACTGCAGCTTGGAATTCCTGGGCTCAAGCAATCCTCCCACCTCTGCCTGAGTAGGTGGGACTACAGGCTGGAGCCACTGCTCCTGGCACCAATTCTGTATATCTCAACTCTCATGATTCCCCAAAGAGAAAGAAAAACCATACTTTTATTCCAGCATCCGGTATGCCTTGTGTATACCTGTATACAAGTTTTAAAGTTGTTGGTTTCATCTCATTAAATAATAGTTAAGAGTCCTCTGAGGCAGCAGGAGGATGTGGAGAGTAGCACAGGTCAGGGTCAGGTGACCTGAGTTCTATGAAGGGTAGCAGCAATAGCAACTATTATTGGGTGCTTACATGTACCAGGCGCTATGCTAAGTGCTTTACATGTATGACTTCACTTCATGGGGCAAGGATACTCATCAGTAGTCTCATTTTACAAATGAGGAAACCGAGGCTCAAAGAGGATAAGTCACTTAGCCAAAATGTCCCAGCCAGGATTCTTTTGGGTGAGCTCCCCAAAATTTGTCTTCTAACTCCTACCCTATACTCCCTCCACTGGGAGCTGTGCGACTTTGAGCAAGAAGCTTCATCCCATTGGGCCTCGGTTTACCATTGGAAAGGACTTGTGAGCGAGGTTGAATGAGCGCAGCAGATGGCCTGTGGTTATTTAGAGCAGTGCTTCCCTGGTTGTTTGATATCACAGCGATCATAGAAATACTTGTGTGGCCCGGTGAAATGGAGGCGGAAACTCAGTTTCTACCTTCACAGGGCCTGACTGGAGGGGGCTGAGGACGATGCGGAGGTTTCCTGTATTAAAACAGACTACCCCCCCTTCCCAACGCACAACCCCGAGCACGTGGCCGTGGGTTCCCAAGCGCCTCTTCTCCCAGGGCCATGGGCATGACCACTGAAAAGCGGGTTAGGCCGGGGAGTTCAGAACCCGGAGTGAATCGAAACTACCCCAGGTAGATGGCAGCGAAGAAAATTCTGTTCTTAGGGGAACGCAATCTTCGGACACCAGAAGTTCCCCTATGATGCTATTCTGTGGCAGCCTCGCACTTGAGCCGGATGAGAATTGTAAAAACCCAGATTGGGAGACAGGACGGCGCGTCTTCCCGGCTCCTTTCCAGAGTTTAGACGGAGCCATGCAGACTCAGCTGGCCTTTGGGTGTAGGTGGGCAGGCCCGAGGCGCCCTCTCGAGACCCCTTCAACCTCCCGGGGGCAGCAACACCGTGTCGGCTATGAATGGCGTCTCTGGAAAACTCAGGCTTGGAACAGGTAACCCCCCGGTTTCCGCAGGCCAGAAATCAGCCCCCGCAACCGAAGGACGCGCAGGCTGGGAGTGGCGGCGGGGCCGCCAGTGGCGGACCTCCACTGAGGGCGGCGGGACCCGACCGCAGGGGCTGGGCCCTGAGGCCACTATGGGGTGCGCTAGGCTAAGGTCTCCTGGGGGCAGGAGCCAGTGCGATTGTAGCTGGCCAGCAGGCTGGCCGGCCTGAGGCCTGGCAGAGACCCGAGACCCCGACCCTTACCACGCGGACTCCGTGATCCCTCTCCCAGCAGCCGCCCACCTGGGGCCCTGAGCCAATAAGAGCTCGAGGTATATATGACTCACCGTGCCTGGGCCAATCAACTTGACGCGCGCTCTTCGCCAGCACCTCGCGCGATAACCTGGCTTCCTCGGCCTTCACAATAAAAACTCTCCGCCGGAAAACGACCTCTCCCCGCCCACCGCGCCGACACCGGAAGCGAGGCGTGTCTGCGAGATCACTCCGCGCTCCGGCGGCGAAGGAAAGAACGGACTCTGATCATAGAAGTCTAGTAAAGTAGTGCACCTCTCTCGTTTCGTGAGGTCATTAAGAACAAACACCTTTTCTCGTCACAGCTACGCGCTGGGCATAAACGGTTGGGGCGTCAAAGGGAGGGAAACGAGCGGGCGGGAGGAGATGGTCACGTGGCCGTGGCGGAAGGATGCGTCGGTGCTGCGTCCCCTTAGAGACGAAGTCTATAAAGGGCCGGCGGGCGGCTGCTGCGGCCATTTCTACTTCGTCCGCCCACAAATGTAGTTTGGTTCGCACGTGTGCGCCTTCCCTCCTCCCCGCCCGCAGGGTCCACGGCCACCATGGCGTATTAGGGGCAGCAGTGCCTGCGGCAGCATTGGCCTTTGCAGCGGCGGCAGCAGCACCAGGCTCTGCAGCGGCACCCCCCCCCAGCGGCTTAAGCCATGGCGTGAGTACCAGGGCGGGTCGTCCAGCTGTGCTCCCTGGGCCGGCGCAGGTTTTGGGTTGGTGGGGTGCGGCCTGGGGCCGGGGCGGTGCCGCCAAGGAGGAAGCGATTTTACGAGCGCCCGGGACGCGTGGTCTTTGCTTGGGTGTCCCCGAGACGCTCGCGTGCCCGGGATCGGGAAGGCGCATTCTGGTGCCAGGACTGCTTCCACAGGGGCCCTGCCGCCCTCGGACCCCGAGTCCCCCAAGGGTCCCAGGGGTCTCGGCTTTCCCCCCCGCGAAACGTGGCAAGAACCAAGATGGCGGCGGCAGGGCGGCGCCGCGGGCGTGAGTCAAGGGCGGGCGGTGGGCGGGGCGCGGCCGCCCTGGCCGTATTTGGACGCGGGGACGGAGCGCCTTCCTCTTGGTGGCCGGTGGAAGAATCGCCTGGTCTCCGTGAGCGTCCATTTTGTGGAACCTGAGCCGCAGCAGGGAGGGGCGGATGCAACTGCCCCGTTGCCGACTCTATAGATGGCTGGACTAGAGAAGTCCCGCCTCGTAAGTGGAAAGATGAAATTCTCAGACCAGCTAACCTCTAATGGGAGTTGGCTTCTGATTCCCATTCAGGCTTCTCACGGCATTCAGCAGCAGCGTTGCTGTAACCGACAAAGACATCTTCGAATTAAGCACATTCCTCGATTCCAGCAAAGCACCGCAACATGACCGAAATGAGCTTCCTGAGCAGCGAGGTGTTGGTGGGGGACTTGATGTCCCCCTTCGACCAGTCGGGTTTGGGGGCTGAAGAAAGCCTAGGTCTCTTAGATGACTACCTGGAGGTGGCCAAGCACTTCAAACCTAATGGGTTCTCCAGCGACAAGGCTAAGGCGGGCTCCTCCGAATGGCTGGCTGTGGATGGGTTGGTCAGTCCCTCCAACAACGGCAAGGGTGAGTGGGCCACCACCACATCGTCTGGGTGGGATCTAGGGTTAGGGGCCTGTTATCTTTGTATCTGACTCACTTGGCCCTGTCATTCAAATCTTTTGCAGAGGATGCCTTCTCCGGGACAGATTGGATGTTGGAGAAAATGGATTTGAAGGAGTTCGACTTTGATGCCCTGTTGGGTATAGATGACCTGGAAACCATGCCAGATGACCTTTTGACCACGTTGGATGACACGTGTGATCTCTTTGCCCCCCTAGTCCAGGAGACTAACAAGGAGCCCCCACAGACGGTGAACCCAATTGGCCATCTCCCAGAAAGTTTAACAAAACCCGACCAGGTTGCCCCCTTCACCTTCTTGCAACCTCTTCCCCTTTCCCCAGGGGTCCTGTCCTCCACTCCAGATCATTCCTTTAGTTTAGAGCTGGGCAGTGAAGTGGATATCACTGAAGGAGATAGGAAGCCAGATGCCACTGCTTATGTTGCCATGATCCCTCCGTGCATAAAGGAGGAAGACACCCCCTCAGATAATGATAGTGGCATCTGTATGAGCCCGGAGTCCTATCTGGGCTCTCCTCAGCATAGCCCGTCTACCAGGGGCTCTCCAAATAGGAGCCTCCCATCTCCAGGTGTTCTCTGTGGCTCTGCCCGCCCCAAACCTTACGACCCTCCTGGAGAGAAGATGGTAGAAGCAAAAGTAAAGGGTGAGAAACTGGATAAGAAGCTGAAAAAAATGGAGCAAAACAAGACAGCAGCCACTAGGTACCGCCAGAAGAAGAGGGCGGAGCAGGAGGCCCTCACTGGCGAGTGCAAAGAGCTGGAAAAGAAGAATGAGGCTTTAAAAGAGAGGGCGGATTCCCTGGCCAAGGAGATCCAGTACCTGAAAGATTTGATAGAAGAGGTCCGCAAGGCAAGGGGGAAGAAAAGGGTCCCCTAGTTGAGGGTAGTCAGGAGCGTCAGTGTGCTTGTACATAGAGTCTCTGCTGTTGCTGTGTGTTGGAATAAATTATTTTGTAGGGAAAGTACTTGTGTGAATTCCTTTTCTGGCAAATTAGCCGAGTGAGGCGCCACCCACGCATCCCAAACTGGTCATAACATTCCTTGTGAGATCTGGGCAGGAGGGCAGTCCAGGACTGAAGATGGGTACCCAGAGTGGGAACTGCTCGCCCTGCTAGGTGTAAGCCACGATGTCTGATGACTCATGGGGCCATACAGCCGGATAGTTGGCCAACTGTAGCAAGTTGGGTCCTTTACCCAGAGGTGAGTTCGCTGGTTGTGTAGGGAGGAGGCTGGAGCTCTCTGGGAGGTTGGGAGGGAGGGACAGCCTGGGCCTCTACCTATTTATTCAAGAGGGCTTCATGCCAACAGCTGTCGCCTGAAACCCTGGATAAGCTTGCACAGTCCTTGAGATAAGCACACAAGATTAGTTTTCACTTGTTACCCTGAGTTCTGTAGAAGCGTGTTCCTGAAGAAAGAAATGGCTCCTTTTCGGAATTGATGCTGAAGCAGGACAGGAGCTGAGGGTTGGCCTCCGTTTCTCCTTATGGGGTGGAAGGATGACATCCTGCACAGGTTCTGGCTAGAGCTGGGCACAAAGGCTACAGTTCCTGTGAAGGCTGTTGTGCCTGTTGCTACCTAAATAGAAGGCCTGGCATCATGCTAGGATGGATCAGCGCCTAGAAACCACGCCTCCTCACCGCAGCTTCTTCCTGGCGGGGAGACCTCGCCTTTCCAGGCAGGCGATGTCTTTTGTGTTGCGGATGAGTGCTTGAATGCAAGGATCAGCGTATCCTGGGTAGGTCTGTCTTTCCTCTTGTGTCCTTCAGGATCACAGTTTTCCTTCTGTGGAAGGTGGTGTAGACTGGGTGTGCCCGGGGAATGGCTGGGAGGACAGTGAGGGTGAGTGCGCCCAGGCACTGCTGTAACTGAGCACAGTACGTGTGTTCACCCCGTCCCCGAAGCACACCCAGGAGGCAGACGCCACACTCAGGAGGATTTTTTTTTTTTTTTTTTTTGAGACAGGGTCTCTCCCTGTTGACCAGGCTAGAGTGCAATGGTGCAATCTCGGCTCACCACAACCTCCACCTCCTGGATTCAAACGATTCTCATGCCTCAGCCTCCCGAGTAGCTGGGATTACAGGTGCTCGCCACCATGCCCAGCTAATTTTTGTATTTTTAGTAGAGACGGGGTTTCACCATGTTGGCCAGGCTAGTCTCGAACTCCTGACTTCCTGATCCACCCACCTTGGCCTCCCCAAAGTGCTAGGATTACAAGCATGAGCCACCGCGCCTGGCCTTTTTTTTTTTTTTTTTTTTTTTTTCTTTTTAGAGATTGAGCCTATTCCCCAGGCTGGAGTGCAGTGGTGCAATCTTGGCTCACTGCAACCCCTGCCTCCCAGTTTCAAGCGATTCTCCTGCCTCAGCCTCCCGAGTAGCTGGCATTACAGACGACTGCCACCATGCCCAGCTAATTTTTGTATTTTTAGTGGGGATGGGGTTTGTCATGTTGGCCAGGCTGGTCTCGAACTCCTGACCTCAGGTGATCCGCCCGTCTCGGCCTCTTAAAGTGCTGGGATTACAGGTGTGAGCCACCACGCCCAGCTCACCCAGGAGGATTTTGAGCAAAGAGGTAGAGCTGGAATTTGAAGCCAGGACTCGGGCTCCAGTCTGGGCTCTTCATTTTGCCCCTTGAGCTGGAAACAAATGGCCCGTCATGACCTTTCCGGTGCCCAGTATAGACGGTCACCTGAGAGCCAACTGTTGACGGAATGTATGCAACTGCTTGTGGAGAAGTTGCCCGAGGCACCGCTGGAAGTGGACATCACACATGGGTCTTGGACCTGGTGCTCTTCGAGGTCTTTCCTGCTGAGATTCTAGAATTCTCCAAAGGCCATGGGCCTCCATCCACATCCAGGTACTAAATAGGCGTTAGGGTGCGGCCAACAGCATCAGAGTCATCTAGTGCCAGTGGGGGTCGGCCCTCATTTGGCAGATGAGAAACTGAGGCACCAAGAAGGGCAGTGCAGGCTAGTGGTGTGGACCCAGGATGCTGGGGCTGTGCCCTCTCCAGGCCCTTGCAGCTAAGGCCTCCCACACCCAGAAGGCACCAGCTCAGGTCACAGTGGCTTTGCCCTTCTCCTTGACCTCACCTCCTCCCCTCACTGTGCTCTTGGCCTTTCTCCATCTGTCTGCCAAGCTTGGTCCTGCCTCAGAGCCTCACACTTGCTGTTTTTTTGGTAACTTTTTTCTCCATTGAGTTTATCTGTATACAGATTCACTTTCTGTTCTCCATTCCCTAACTATAAGGTCACTCTGTGGCAGCAGGTGTTTTGCTATCTTATTCATTCCGGTACTTCCAGGACTAGAGCAGTGCCTGGGAAATAGCAAAAATGACTGCGGCGAAAACGTTCAAAGAGCTCTGATGCTCTAGGCGCCTTCCAGTGATGAGCTCAGAGTCCTCCTGAGGCTGTGAGGAGGGTCTTATGACTGCACCCTTCTTACTGATGCAGCTGAGACCCAGACTTAGGCACCTCCTTGGGAAGTCTGGCCTGGGGGTGGACACTGGCCCACGGGCAGTTGGTATAGGCAGTGATAATGGCCTGGACAAACCAGCTGGATTTGGCTAGGCAGATGTCTGTTCCGGAGAGCCCAGCGCAATAAGGGGTATGGGAGGAAGGGGCGGAGATGAGGCTGATGTCCAGCCACCACCCTGCATGTGGCAACTTATGGCCCCTGCCAGGCCTTGGCCAGCCCAGCCTAGGTGACCAGGTCAGAGGTGGAGCTGGGCTTTACCCAGTGACCAGGGGCTGGGGGCTGGGGATAGGAAGGGACCTCACAGGCGAGAGCGGACAACTCTCAGCATTTTCTCCTGCTTTGTGTCTAGGACAAGGCTGTAGGTTGTGGAGAGCAGAGAACGACCTTCTTCTTTTATACAACTAGTCCTGAGTGGGTGCCCGCTCTGCACTACACTGGGTGCTGGCTTCAGCAGTGAGCCAAGTAAACATCCCTGCCCTCATGGAAGTTTGCTTCTGGTAAAGGAGACAGATGGACCCTAAAAAGAAAAAGATGTGACATGTGTCACATTCAGATGTAACACAGCAGCTGGGTCAGGCATGGACATGCTGGGCATGCTCCTTAAGATGGGTGCTCAGGGAGTCACAGGGCTCAGCCCGGCAGGGGACTGGGCTGGGATCAGCAAGGAGAGGCAGCCAAGATGTGGGTGTGAAGAGAGGGGATCCCCCCAAGCAAGAGAAAGGATGGAGGGCCCGTTTCCTGAGATCGGGAAAACCAGGGGAAGAGTATGATTTTATTTCAAAGAGGCCAGGTAGAAATAAAAAGTTCCTGGCTTTGGGAGGCCGAGGCGGGTGGATCACGAGGTCAGGAGTTCAAGACCAGCCTGGCCAATATGGTGAAACCCCATCTCTACTAAAAAATTAGCAGGGTGAGGCTGGGCGTGGGGGCTCATGCCTGTAATCCCAGCACTTTGAGAGGCTGAAGCGGGCGGATCAGGAGGTCAGGAGATCGAGACCATCCTGGCTAACACGGTGAAACCCCATCTCTACTAAAAATACCAAAAGTTAGCCGGGCACCTGTAGTCCTAGCTACTTGGGAGGCTGAGGCAGAAGAATGGCATGAACCCGGGAGGCGGAGGATGCAGTGAGCCGAGATCGCGCCACTGCACTCCAGCCTGGGTGGCAGAGCAAGACTCCGTCTCAAAAAAATATAAAATAAAAAATAAAAATTAGCTGGGCGTGGCGGCACATGCCTATAATCCCAGCTACTTGGGAAGCTGAGGCAGGAGAATGGCTTGAACCGGGGAGGCGGAGGTTGCAGTGAGCAGTGCCAGTGCACGCCAGCGTGGGTGACAAAGTGAGGCTCCATCTCAAAAAAAAAAGTCCCCTCAGTGACACCCAAGTGCCAACCACCCTTGCCTAGGTGGCCCATGGGGTGGGGTGGGGGCTCTCAGCCTAGTTGGGGGACTGAAGGTGGACACTTAGACCAAGTAGAAAGTGGCAGCTTCAGGAGACAGAGCAGGGCCTCCCAGCTGGGCTTTGAAGGGTGGGGAGAGTTGTGGACAGAGAATGGGAACAACACCCCGTGAAAGTCAGCCAGGCAGGAAAGAACGGGGCACACACCAAGTGCCACAGTCCCACTGCCTGTGGCAGAGGCCTTTGCCCAGGCTAAACTCTGAGCCTGCAGCTGGGCCCCAGCAGAGTCCCATGTTGCAGTCCTGGCCCACTCCTGCCTGGCCCCCTTGGCCAACTCCTCTAGTAGCAAAGAGGGTCAGAGTGTGGGGGCTTCAGCAGCCCATCCCACTGTGGAAGACACAGGAAGCCATGGCTGGGGCCCTCCTGTGGGGCATGGGGTAGGTTCCTCAAACTCTGCTTCCCCAAACCACCTGTGACGCAAATGCTTCCGGTGCTTTCACACCCATCCATGCTGTCTAGACTGGGGAAGGCCTCCTGCTTTGTCCTGTCAGCCCTAGGTTGAAGTGACAACTCAGTTTCCTCTTTTTTTGAGACAGGGTCTTGCTCTGTCGCCCAGGCTGAGGTGTAGTAACGCCATCTTGGCTCACTGCAGCCTCCGCCTCTCGGGCTCCAGTAATCCTCCCACCCCAGCCCTCTTTCCCGCAAGCAGCTGGGACCACGAATGCATACCACCATGCCCGGCTAATTATTGTATTTTTTTGTAGAGATGGGTTTTGCCATGTTGGCCAGGCTGGTTTTGAACTCCTGACCTCAGGTGATCCACCTGCCTCAGCCTTCACAAGTGCTGGGATTACATGTGTGAGCCACCGCATCTGGCCTCAGTGTCCTCTTATTTGGGTCCTGTTGGTCACCAGGTCCTGGCCATCACGGTCAGCACCTCCTTGGCCCCCCATGGGGACAACCCTCTCTCCTCCAGTGCTGCCCCAGCCACCCCAGCTCCCTGCTGCCTTCCAGACACCTGCACCAGAACTGCTCAGGGGGACAGTTAAAAGGCAGACTCCTCAGTCCTGTCCTTGACCCACTGGACCAGAG